TGGAAAGAATAGTTCTATGCACACTCATATCCCCACAATTCTTAATTCGGCTGATTTGCTCTGCGTGTGTGTGTGTGTGTGTGTGTATGTGTGTGTGTGTAATTTTGTTGCTAAACCATTTTAAATAAATGATGTTTCATCCTTAAATACTTAAGCATGGGTCTCCAAGAAATAAGGACAGTCTCATACACAACCAGAACACTGTTATTGCTCCTAATAAAACTGATAATTCTCCATTAACCAAATTCTATAAAGAATGGGCATATTTTTAAAGACGTGAAATGAAGGAGTTATGCATCTGTCAAAGAATAAGTAAAAGGCGTTTGGTTGGTTATTTTGCAGGATGTTTATTTTACATGCTAATTGTTTTGTCACACGGTCGGCTGGTATGTTGAGTCAAGAAGAAAACCAAACAAGATATATAAATGAGAGAAGTGAGGGAGGGAAGTGAGAAGTGAAAAAGTCTGCAGACAGCCTGGGAACACAGAATCTTGTTTGTACCCGCTTTGTGTAAATTGATCAATTGGAAACTAGAGGTACATTGTCTTTGCCCAGAGACAAAGGGTGACTGGGGTATCAAAGAAAACCATTAACATTGCTTGTGGCTTCTCTGTAATGACTCAGTAGTGTGGCTGAGGCATCAATGTGGCAGGCTGTCTGTGTCACGTGGGCTGGAGTCGCTCCAGCCCTTACCTCCAACCCTAGGCCAGGTTTCCACCCTTTCTTCCACTGGCATTTTATGGGTTGGAATGTCAGCATTAGCCTTGCAGAATATTTCCAAGCACAGTCTTTCATTTGATGGCCTGACAGCCTTCTGAGGGAAGCAGAACAAGGATTATGATCCACATTTCACAGGGGAAGAGATGAAGGCCCAGGGAGATTAAGAAATGTACCCAAGGTCACACAATTTGCTGAACCTAAAGGAGATATTTACAGATCTGTAAAGTTCAAAGGAAATAGTGGGCACAAGTTGAATGTTTGAAAGACTGACCTGAAATTTTCTGCATAAAATTTTATGCTTTGGACCAGTACCCTTCCTCTGTGGATCTTCCAACCCTCTTTCAGAAGGACCAGCCCCTGGGATGTGGTGCTTTCCACCACTTCTGTGGCCTAAGAGGACCCTCATTTGATACAGAAGGCCCAAGTTGGTCTCAGAAGTCCAAGATAGTTATTACAAAGAGTTCTCTGTGCATCTAGAAAGACTAACCAGGTACATTCACTTTCTTCCAGAGGATATTATCATCCGGATGATAGTGCAACTTCTCCAAAAAGTGGGAGACCAGTGGGAAGAAGAGGTGAGGAGCTGACTGTGTGTGTAGATCCCCAGGGGCTTGCTGTCTTCTCCTCCACCACCTCCTTCTCCTTGCTCAAGCCCTACCTGTCCTCCAAGCCTCCTAGCTCCCCTGCTCTGGGCTCTGTCGCCTCCCTTGCCTGAAGCCACCCTGAAGCACTTCGCTGCTTCTCAGGGAGCTTTCCCATCTCCTCCAGGTCAGGGACCCAACTCAGTTTCTTTCCCCTACAGCAACTCCAAGCCTCTCAGCCAGAGGCATCTCCACAAAACCCAGCACCAGCTGTCAGGAAGAAATCCCAGGAGAAAAAGTCTAACCTCAAGAGAGTCTTTTCACTTAAGAAACATGGCTCTGAGGAGTCCAAGAGGATGGAGGCTGCAGATGTTTCCAGCCCGGAGTCCCGGCCGTCAAGGAAGATCAGCTTTCTGCCCCTGTGTGTTGGGGGCCATCGGCCCTCCATCTCCAGCAGTCCTGGTGAGCAGGCTCACAGTTACCATAGCAACACTGCAGCTCTGGAAGCTTCCCCAGGGCTGGAATTGGCCACTTTAAGAGCTGCCATCCCAGTCCTGACTTTTGCTCCTCCCTGAGCAATGGGGGAAGACTGTGGGGAGGAGAAAAGCGATGCCAGCAGATCGCCTCCGCACACGAAACCTCACCATCTAGGCAATCCAGCTAAGCCCTCGATGGAAATTGCATTCAGGGATCCCCACCATCCTCAGCTCTCCGAAGCCTCAGTTTCCACACCCTGGGCGTGGGATGCATGTGCAGGAAGGAACTGGAGCCTGGCAGTCAGGAGATCTGGGTTCTGAGCTGTTCATTCTATGTCATTCCCCACCTCTGTGCCTCAGTCTCCTCACCTTTAAAATAAGACACATACCTACTGCAAATCTGTACTCAATCAGTCCTCACAGCTATTTTATGAAGTACGTATTATTATCTCCATTTTACAGATGAGGGCACTGATACTTAGGGAGGTAAAATAACGTGTTCAATGTCACATGGCCCATCAGTGATGGAGTCAGAGCCAGAGGGAGGAAGGATTGTCTTGGGTGTCAGAGGGGAACAGCAGAGCGGGTCATCCTGACCAAGGGACTTTACATTTTAAAAAGGAGAGGGCAATGCTTAACACCAAAGAGTGGATCCCCAGCGGTGAAGTCTCAGGCCATAAGGGGAGAGATTTTCGTGCAGGGTATTCTGGCCTGATGTGTTCATTAATTCTATGGAATCAGGCATTTACTCTAACTCCTAAATCAGGCCAAGATGACGGTGAAGGGGTGAGGTTGCTAGGGGAGGGAGGTGAAGGGGGCAAAGCCCAGGAAGCCAGGTGTGTGAAAGTGCAAAGGGATAAGGGATCTGGGGCAATAAACCAGAACCATGGCCCTGCCCAGCAGCTCACCTCCACCCCTACTCACCTCCGCCCTGGCTCACTCCACCGTCCACACGATCTGACCATGAGCGAGCACAAGGTAGAGGCTCCGCTAATTTTTTTGCAGTAGTCAACACCCTCCGACTGACGAAACACTCCCATTATTTCACCTCTCTTCTCAGGCTTGGAAGAACCTGAAGTCCAAGAGTCCTTGTCTACAGATAGTGGGGGTCCAAGTTCCTCGGAGCTTTCCACCCAAGCAGGAAGCCAGAGACTAGAAGAGGACTTGCATCTGGACAGAGCCTCGGAATCCAGTCAGTACCCCCTCTCCTTTTCTCAGAGGTCCCGTGGGAATCGTCTAGCCTGACCCCTCCACTTGTGGAAGAGAAACTGAACCAGAGAGAGGCAGTGACTTGTCCTGACCTGCCTCTGAGTGCAGCAGGCTGGAGAGACAGGGCTCAGAGCACAGGCCCTGAGCCAGACTGCTGTAACTTACCCTGTCTGAGCCTCAGCTGTAAACCACAATAGTGCTGACGCCCTCTTTGGTGACTCGGACATAAAGCGCTGCGTGGAAAGCACTGGCCCCACAGCAAGAGCTTGGTAGATGGTGTGATTTAGGGCTGGGTTTGAATTGGATTCTGATGTCTTTAAGCTGTGTGAACTTGGACAAGTTGCTTCATCTTGGTCTCAGTTTCCTCATCTGTATAATGGGGATAATAATAGTACCGACTTCCTAGAGTCATTGGAAGCGCTAAACAAATTCATGTCGATAAGGCATTTGGAGCAGTACCTATTAGTAGCTAATAAATGTTAGCTGTTGTTTATTGTTATTATTATTGTTGTGGTTATGCAAAGCCTCAGGAAAAGTAAAGAGGATAGGAAGGGGCCATAGGAGAGAAGCTCTACAGATGGTAGCCGTTGTCACTATTATTATTTTATCACTGGCAGAGCCAAGCTTAGAATTATATAATCACTGTCAGTAGTTCTGTGTGTCTGAAGATACTCTTAAAGATCTGCCTCTCTCACTTCCACCTTTCTGCCTTGTTAACTTTTCACACACACAAAAAATGTGCCCCAAAGAGGAATCGAGACGGGTCCCTGTTCTACCTAGAAGAGGGATAAGGGGATTTGTGGGACCAGACCTTTCTAGATGGCCTTGCGGCACCTTTTCCCAGAGGCAGGGGCCTCAGCTGTTTTCCTCACACCTAATGTGGCACATCTGGGCCCCCACTGGTAAATAGATAAGTGAATATGTTCCCTTGAAACCAGCTCTGCCCTCAGGTCACATCTGAGGACTCTGTGGGTCCCTCTGGGTCTGGACTGGGACAATCACAAATGCAAGCTCGTTAGCACTTTGGAGACCTGTGAGAATCACCCAGGGAGCCACCTGGGCCTTAGGAAATAAAGATAGACCACAGAAAAGCTTTTCTCAGCAGTAGAGTATAAGCAACCACTTTGTTCTTTTTTAGAAGAATTTATCCAGAAGATCATTGCCCTACTCCAAGATGTAGAGGAGCAGGAAGGAGAGAAGGTGAGGAGGACATTCCCCAGGGAAACCATGACCCTCACTGTGGACACGCCTGCCCCTGCCTGGAGTAATGCCTTCCCTGCCCCTCCCTCAATTCCACATCTTGCCAGAGCCCTGCTCCTGTCCCTCCTCTTCTCTGAGCCTCCCCTGATTGCTGCAGGCCAAACTTGTTTTTCCATCTCTGAGCATCAGTGGCTCTTCTCTCTAGGCCACCCGTTCTGGTCCACAGTGGGTCTCTGTTTCAGAGCGTGCTGGTCTCTTTCCTCACCTCACTTGCCGTTTCTTCAAAGTTGAGGGCCCTGACTCAGGTTCTCTCATTTTATCCGCAGCAACTTCAAGTCCAGGAGCCAGTGATGGCTGTGGAAAACCAAGCCCCACCCTGCAGGAAGAAATCCCAAGAGAAAAAATCCAGCTTCAGAAAACCCTTTTCTCATAAAAAACATGGTTCCAAGGAGCCCAAGAGAGCGGGAGCTGCAGATGCCTCCAGCCCAGAGTCCCGGCCACGCAAGAGGCCCAGCTATCTGCCCCTGTGTGTTGGGGGCCATCGGTCCTCCATCTCCAGCAGCCTTGGTGAGTAGGCCTGGTGTTGCCACGGTAACAGAGGCTGCCTCTGACCTGAGGCTTCCTCCAGGGCAGTGGCTGGCCTCTTGTTTAGTCTTGACTTCTGCTCTCTGTTCTGAGCGGAGTGGGGAGGTGCAGTTGGGCCGTAGAGGAGAGAGGCCGGTTACCGGTAGGTCCCACCACTCACAACACACTCTTCCCTCCCGCCACCCCCACACATAGACACTTAAAGACAAATGTGGTATGAAAGCAGTGCATCAGAATCACCTGGAAAGCTAATAGAAAAAAGAGAGGCCCCAGTTTTGACGAAGGAGGTATGACCTGGGCTTTCTTTTCACTGCACCTAAGTGCGAGGGCCCCCGGTATATAATGACTCCTCCCTTTACATTTACGGAGTGTTTACCACAGGTGCTTTCACACATGTTATCTCGTTTAGCCAGTTCACGACCCTGTGAGGCCAGTCTCATTACTGCCATTGGACAGATAGAGAAAGTGAAGTTCTGACAGGCTGTGTGACTTGGCAAAGCCTTGGGGAGTTAAAGGGGAAATGGGTTCACTTGGTGGGACCTGTTGGCAGGCCTGCTTGTTTTCCTCCTAGACTGAGAGGAGGCAGAGGGGGATGGTGGAAGAAAGAATGAGATTTCTGGAGGGGACAAATAGAGCCCTGTGAACTCCTCTGGGGTGGGTCCAGGGTGGCTAGGGGTTCACCAAGGAGCCTAGGAAACCGACCCCTCTCGTGCCAATGCCTTCGGACAGCTTCTTGTCAGAACCTGGACATAGCGATTTGAGTCACTGGATTTGAGACAGGTACAAGCACACTCATACCATCTTCTTTTTTGCCCTCAGATCTGGAGGGTCTCGAGTTCCCGGAGTCCTTGTCTACAGAAGGGGGACCGGTTGGATCCTCAGAAGCACCCTCCCAGGCCCGAAGCCACAATAAGCCAGAAGAGAGACCTCTGCAGGATGGAGCGTGTGAATCTAGTTAGTACCTCTCTGCTCTCACCTGGGATGGTTCCCCTTAGATTTCGCAGGCTGAATCCAAGTAGGGAACTGGAAGGGCAGCTGACAAATATCCAGGAAACTCTAGCAGGACAGGGAGAAGACAGGGCTGGCCTTTCAACTGGGGTCGTTGGGACAGAGTTGGAGGTGGAGAGCTTTCTTCAAGTAGAGAACATGTATCTATTCTGTGGGATGTGACTTAACCTCACCCCATTGTTTTGTTTAAACATTTTATTAAATTCTTAGCTTGCTCTGGGTCTCATAACCAGTGCTTTACTGGCAAAAGGCTACTGGTGTGGGGGTGGGGTGTCAAGGAGGAGGAAGCCGTGATCTGTAGCATTTGCAGATTTCTGTGGTATAGATATTCCCACCGTGGCCAGTTTCAGTGTGCCAACAGTTTATAACAATGGGTCCACCGATTCCTAAATATGTACACTTCACTCTTGGGATGAGCAGCCACTGGCCACACGGCCGTTTGTAGCCCTGGTTGCAACTATTCCTGAACCATTTTGGCTTTGGGAAAGGAGGTGAGACGCTGGATGATAAAAGGTGGCAAATGATTAGCCAGGTGATTGTTTGCAGCTCTAAAACCTTTGATTCTATTTTCAGTGTATACAATATTGACTATTGTAGCAATGCAATATGCTAAATTGCATAAGTTTCTTACAGCAGTAGCCCCGGGGTTTCCCCACCCTGCGTTCTGATTAGCTGCTCCTGGCCCCAACTCCCATTCTCGACCACACTACTCTGTACCTTGGTAAGAGACACTGGGAGGTCTCAGATTTCCCCTCTGTCAGATGGAGCTGAATGTGGTTATAGGCGAGCGTGGCAGGCCAAAGTCCCTTCTGTTTCTATAAGGCAAACCCAAACAAAGCTCTCATGCTCCAGCTCTAGTTTGGGGAAGATTTTTTCTTTCCCCTTCATAACTAATCTGTGTGCTGGGTTTTAGAGACAGAATACTGTCTGTAGTCGATGAATGAGTTATTGCAGAATTTTTCAACAGTCCCACAATCCTTCTTTTTTATCCTCAGAGGAGCTGATCATCCAGAAGCTGGTGGCCCTTCTCCAAGAAATGGATAGCCATTTGGGGGAGCAGGTGAGAACTGAGACCTGAGGTCAATCCCCATCTCTGTATCTGGGTGACCTTGGGTGTGTCCCTGAACCTCTCTGAGACTCGCTTTCCTTTTTTGCAAAATTGGGGATAAAAATCTACCTGACAAAGTTTAGTGCATATATAGAAAATGCCACACATGTAGCAGATGAGATAAATGTTACTTTAAGATAATATAAAGCTCAGGTGGCTCCCCCTGCCAGCCAGAACCTCCCCTGATCCAAATCCTCCTTGAAGTTCAGCTCACGTCCCACCTCCCTGGAAGCCTCCTCCTGGGAGTCTGGAAGGATTTGGATTGGGGGAGGTCCTGGCACACACTTCAAGCTTTTAGATTTTCCTCCCCTGCTAGATAGCCTGTAACAGAAGGTTCCCTGCCCTTATAAACCTCACAGTCTACTTGGAGAGACAAACACAGATCACATATGAAGAGGTCATCAGGTGTGAGTACAGGTCACTGATGAGCAATCAGTGTAGCAGACACTGTTGGCACCTGACCTTGGTGTACACTGGCCACTCCCAACGCCAGCACCTGCATCTTTTTGCCTGAAGACTGGCCCCCAGAGCCTCTTTGCCACCCGGTGGCAGGCCAGAATTAACACCCTCCACCTCCCCAGGAGCAGCCCTCAACTAATGGCTCATGGGAGCTGGTGGGTACATACTCAGCTTCTTCTCCCTGGGGGATAGCGGGGGAAGAACTTTGAGTAGCTGGTTCCTGGAATGCCCCGAGGGAATTCGGCTCCAGATGCCAGCGTGTGTGGCTGCCTTCCTATCCTTGTCTCAATCTTCATTTTCCCATCAGTTTCTCAGGGATTACTTACAGCATAAAGATATGCACCTGAGACCTTGTCTCTGAGTCTGCCTCTGGGGGAACCCAATCTAAGACCTTTGGATAGTAAGAGGAGGAGTCTTAGGGTGGGAACTAAAATCCATCCAACATCTACTCTGCACAAAACATTTTACATAAACTATCTCCCTTAATCCCCTCTCCCAATAATAATCAAGGAGGGTGGGGATATTATTATATCTCCGTTTTGTACATGAGTAAGCAGAGGCTCAGAGAGGTCACACAACTAGTAAGTGAGATTTAAGCATCATTATTTGGGTCCAAAGACCTGTATTTTTTTTTCTTTTCTTTCTTTTTACTTTGTCTTGCTATTTGCAGCCAGACCTTGCATAGCAGATTCTGAGTGCCTGTGGGTGGTGGAGGAATTTATCTGGGAGCTCACCTCAGGGGCAATGAGGTGTGCCTAGCCTGGCTGCGTGGAGTTGAGGGAGGGGGCAGTTGGTGGGCAGGGATACCTACTGGCAACACTGATGACCTGCCCTCATTTCTGCTTCCAGATCAGGCGACGCCCCAGCTTCGAGAGATTTTTTTACCAGCTCCCAGACTCCTCTCTCATAAAGCTGGCGGCCACCCTGAGCAGACAGGGGGCCAGCTCCACTGAGCCTGACCAGAACCTCGCTGAGAGACGCTACCAGTTTGCCTTTGGCTTGGCTAACAAATTTGCTGGGAACAACCACCATGCTGTCCTCAGGTTCATGGGTCTGCGCTACAGACAACACAGTTACCCCCAATTCTCGTACAGGGAAGCCCAGCAGGTGAGAAAGGGCAAGGAGGCGCAAGTGATGACAGGCTCATGGTCATGCAGGATCTATTTACTATCCTCTCCCCACTCCTGCTTAATTCAGAACTTTTAGGGTCCAGCTCAAATGCCAACTCCTTGCTGAGACAATTCTACACCACAGCGACCTTTTTCTTTCCCCAAACTCTCACTGGCTTTGCTCGATAATTAGCATCTTCTTTATTTGGCTCTGGTCTCTAACTATGTGCATTCTTTCATACCTTTTGCTATCAGTATGGAATGCTGGACTGGCTGCTATCTTAGCTTGCCCTCTTATTATTTCATGGGTTCTGCTGCTTGGCTTCTCAGTTCAAGACTGTCATAAAATTTAAGTAACAAAACACAGTAAGATTACATTTAAAATAAGGGGCGATAGGTGGAGGTAGATGAGAAGAATCCATGCGCTGTCTGGTTCTGGAAGGCTTCCAGAAGGTGTTCCTTCACTGACCTTCATCCTGGCCTCTCCCCTGCCATTATTCTCACTCTTCCCATCGATTTCACATTTTCCCCGCCCCTAAGGCTCTGAGAAGTTCCCTTTAGAAATAATATCGATCACTGATTTTTTAAAAAATATGAGTTTTCACATGTTTTCTGAGGACTCCGATAGGTTTCCCCACCCTTTTCAAAATCACTTATGATAACCTGCTTACAAACATTAGACCCAGATCTATAGAGTAGAAGCTACTGAATGAAAGCATGACTTTAAAGGAATAAATGTTCTGTTTATTAGTGTTGGACAAATGGGACCAGAATTTCTACATCCAAATGGTCCCCTGGGGAATCAGAGTGTTATTGCAATGATGTCACCATCATTCAAACACTCTGTCTTCCTCTCCTGGAACTACCTTTAGAAGCCATGTGCTAAGTCTTGCAAGAAAGCCAGTCTTATTTTATGTTACATGTACCTTGTCATTCCAATGCCCTGCACAACTTTGGCTTGTTTTCCTGATGAAAATTCCTGTGACCTTAGACCTCTCTTTTCTCAGCCTCATTGTCTTCTCCCAGAGAATTGGGATATTACAGATAATTTGCCTTCTAAGACGGGTTAGGTAATAGTTTATGAAGGGATCTGAGTTTTTTGTGAAGATCGGTTTTGACATCCTCAGTAGCCCTAACTCCGTCCTCTGGTTTTACTAATCATTCATTCATTCACTTATTCATTCAACCAATATATAGTATGCAAAGTGCTGTGAGGGCCTGTGGAAGGTTTTATTAGTGGAAAAGACAGAATGTTTACTGTTGACAAAATTAAATATCAGTTAAATGCTAAATTAGGGGTAACACAGGTCGATAAAGTAGGTCAGTTCTGGGAGACTTCTAGGAGCCGGCAGGCATTGATTTTTACTTTTGACGATGGAGAGTTGTAGATGGGGAGACAGGACCAGGAGAACACTGTAGGCAGAAGGTACTGTGTGAGCAAAGACTCAGAGGTGGGAGCTAGTGTGGTATGTTGATGGGTTAATGAGAAGTCTATTGTTATCAGAGTGGGACCCACAAATAATTGAGCTCTGGCTAAAACCTATGTTCCTCTTCTCCCCGCAGAACATCACAAGTCCTGAGAGCCAAAGTCCAGATTGAAAGCTGAGCTTTGAACTCAAAGGCCCTTGAACGAGCCAAACAACTGATGGCTTTAGCCAGGAGAGCTTGAAGATGCTTCATGATGTCCCAATCCAGTGCTTTGCAAACATGACTGCAGATAAGAGTGCATAGCCATTCTGTGTACATGCATCGCCGTGGACTTACTGAGACTGAGAATGCACAAAACATTCTTCTACAAAGCTAAAGGCAGATACTGTGTTGGGAGAGATAAGCACTGGACTGGGAGTTAGGACACTCAGGGCTCCAACTGCTGATCTGCTTCAAACTTGTTACAAGACCCTGTACATGTCCCCTCTCCTGTCCAGACCTTGGGTTCTGGGCTGGACTAGGTGACCCATTGGATCTCTTCTGGTCTACATTGCTGAAATCTTCCTAAAGAGAAGTAGTGAGTGCTTTTACTTTGTGGCTAAATACACCCTCCCTACTGAGCTGGAGGCAATCTTTAAGTCCTTGCTGAATGAATGAATGAATGAATGAACGAACAAATAAGGCAGAGAATTAAGATCCAGGTAGTTCCGCCAGGTATTCTCTGGGAGGCCTTGCTCCTCAGCTGGAATTGTGCAACCATTGCTTCTGTCTCTAAATCGTGGGTTAGGGTGGACATGGGGGCACTTTCTCGATGAACATTGGTCTGGAGCATTGGACTGGGAGTCAAAGCCCTTGCATTCTGGGAACGGCTCTAGTGCTGGCCTACGTGCCTTTGGGCGAGTCTCCTGGTTTTTACTTTAAGAATTACCAAATCCTTAATCTTATTTTTTTATCATCATTCATTTTCTTGATCCACAGGGGCTAACACTAGGCCTATTATCATATAGAAGGCCTGCTGACATTTTTTCAGGTGTTAGTTTTAAATGAGTCTTAAAAGTAAATTTTTGTTTCACCAGAATGTCCACATGCATTTAAATAGATGTGCAATTATGCACAACACATAATTTATTCAGTTGACTGACAATGCTTAATGCCCAGATGGATTTGTAGATGCCTCCCAGGAACTCTGCAGCCCCAGATAAGGGAAGACCTGTGGCTTGGGGATCAGTGGTCTCTCAGTGTCCTATAATTCTGTCACCAAAGAAATAAAGCTGATGGTTTCACCTCTCCCATTTCATGGGAGTTTGCCAAGAGTCAGTGAAAATGAATGTGAAGGGTTCTGAAAGTTAAATAGTGCCATGTCCATGTATGTTGTTATTTTTATTATGGCCACAGTCTGGGTAGTTTTCAGGAAATGGGGAAGGGCTTCAAGCTGGATCACCATGGATGGTTGCACAGGTGTGCACTGTTCAAGAGCATCATGCCCTTATTTACTTCCTAGACATTGTGGATTTGTAGATTTATGACAATTTCCCAGCTGAAGGCAGTAAAGTGTCTTGAGAAAGATACTTGGCAGGAAAGTAACTTCTTGTTTTTGCACGAAGGTGGGGTATAAGTTGTTAGAGGCTCTGCCTTCCACACAACTGAACAGTTTCAACAGCTTGGCTCAGGTGGACAATTTATCGTGTGTCCATTATCTACATGGGCATCTGATATTATAGCCGTGAACACAGCCTGGAACACGTGGCCATAGGGGAGAGGGTATTAAAACCTGCATGGCAAACTCAATTTTGTTACCCACAGTGAACATTGTTTTGCTGTTGAACCTATGGTGAGAACGGTGGGTGGACCTGGGGAGGAGGAGAAGCCCTGGGCAGAGAGGGCTTGGGCATTCAGATGGGACTGGCCTCAAATCTGAGGCAAAGTTTTAGGAATCTCAACTAAGCATATTCTGAAAGTCATTTAATTTTATTGCTTCTAAGAAGTGGGGAGAGATGAGCTGTTTGTGGATTTATTTTAGGCACTGTTCAGGAACACAGGCAGTGTTCAGGAACACAGGGAAGGATCAGAATCAATTCTGAACTGAGGGTCAGGAACCTTCTGTATGTAGTTTCTTATTTGGAATGATGTTCTTTAAGCTGTATGAGTATTTGGTATGAGTTCCCGATGCTGGCATCTAAGTCTCATTTTTGTACTTCATTATTTGAACAAATAAAGAAACTGACTCACACAAAGGTCTTATTATTCACAATGGAGGCTTGGGGATACACCAGCCACATCTAGGCCAGTCTGGTTACTGCAAGGCTATTGGAGTCAGCCTCTTTGTCTCTACCTGGGGATTCTCTCTGGATGTTTTCCGGGTGTCCCATCCTTGGAGTGCCAACTTGCTGAGGCAGTAAAAAAAGTGCTCTGGGCTGGGCATCAGGAGTCCTGGATTTTAGTCTAGTCGACCATAAGCTGATGACCTCCAGACCTGAGATTCTATAACTCTGTGACTCTTAAGGTGACAGTTAATTACGTGTTTAGGAAAATATGGGCCAGTCCTGATTCTATATCATCTGTCTTATTAGTGCCTAAATTCTGGTGCCCAAACTCAGAACCAGATAGACTTGAGAGAATACAGTGCCTGGTTTTCAGTCTAGAAAATGTGCTCGCCACTGAAAGACATTTAAGGCTTCCTTTCTGTTCCCTCAGATAACACGTGAGTTCTTCCAGTGGCTTCCTGGGGAGGTAACCCTTTTGTGTGCATAGCTTGTCTTCTTTTCAAACCACGTTTCCATTTCCCAACACTTGAAGGCTCACAGTGATGGCTTTGAGGAGGGCAGGAGAGGGCAGTATTATCCTTGTCTCACAGAGGAGAAAGCTAAGGCTCAGAGTGGGGCAGTGACTTGTTCAAAGTCACACAGTCAGCTACAGACAGAACTAGGCTGGGACCCAGCTCTCAGAACTCCTGTTTTTGTGCCTTCCTCATTATTGTCTAATCCATTAGGTCATTTAGTCAAGCAATATTTATTGAGCACTAACTATGTGCCAGGTCTCACGTAAAAGACATAACTCCCACCCTTGGGATGCTAATGGTTTATGGGAATTTTGTGCCATTAGGAATATAGAATGTTTGAGGGTGGGCCTCTCTCATTTTATACCATGGAGGCTTTCAAGAGCATTGGGGTGCATGGGAGACCATACTGCTTTGAAAGCCTTTTAAAAGGTGGGCAAGTAACATCTGGACATAATTAACCTAATTTCTCACCCTAAGAAATCAGGAAGCTAAGTGGGTGAATCACAGATAATGGGGTCAGCTGAGAACTGGTTGAGTTCAGGGTGTTAGCCAGGTTACGGGGAGGGCTGGATTGTAGGTGTCATTCAGATATGCTTGTTTGGAAAGCCAGAGAGTGTTATGGCCTTGATCTTTGTACCAGTGAGACCTCTCAATTTGACTGTTGCATCAAAAACCAATCCATTAGTGTTGGTTTGAAAAAAAAAGGGTATAAAAAGGAGAAAGAAACTAATTAGGGTTGCCAAATTTAGCACATAAAAATATGGGTGGCCCAGTTAAATTTGAATTTCAGATATACAACAAATAATTGCATTACTGGTGACATACTTACACTAAATAATAATTCATCATTTATCCAAAATTCAAATTTAACAAAGTTTCATGTATTTTATCTGGCAAATCTGGAACTAATGCAAGAACTAGTCTCTCAGTTACCTCAAAATGAGGAAATGGGAAATTAAGCAAAATGAAGAAAAATATGCAAGGGGATTTATTGATACTTATAACTGTAACATAAGAGCATCTCAGTTCTAAGTACGGGCTTTGAGTTAAAACAACAGTTAATATGAGAGTAAGCAGAGAGGGCACTCACATCTGCGATTTGATTCTGCTCAGGTCTCTCAAAAGTACGTTCAGGCTCTTCCAAGCAGAACCTTCTGAAGGGGGCTCGCATAGATTCATGTTCCCTGACGTGGTTCTGTTAAACGTAGCTCTACCTGGGACTCCTTGTCATAATAGCTTCCCATTCTTTATGGCTAAATTTGTATGCATCATCCTCATGTGCCCCAGTCCAATTCAAGGTTGTTTTCCATCTAGGCCTCTGGATTTTGCATTCCAGGATTTGTTAAGCAAATGCCTCTGAGGCCTGCGGACAGTCAGGCCTTCCTTACTGAGCCTGGCTGGCGCTGCAGGTTATGCACACTCTGGGGAGCAGAGTGGCTAATTTTTTCCTGGACAGGCTGGAAAAGTTGAGGCTGAAGGTGTCTCTTTTGTGGAACAGCAAAGTCTGCCCTCATTTGGGTTGGGGGATGTGAGGGGCAGGTGTAGTAGGCCTTTCACTTCCTCTACAACCTCACCGGGACTCAGGGAAGTCCAGGGTGGCCAGCTCAACATGGCTGCACCACATAGTCCCTGGGGAGCTCTTAAAGCCCGCGTGCCAGATTAACTCCATCAGGGGAGTCCAGTGAGCGGCTGAGGTGGAGTCTAGTGGTTCTAAGTGGAGCCTTTAGTTATGCTGTGTGAATTAAAAACAAAACAAAAGAAGAACTTGGTCTCTTGACACCACAAAAAACAGGGAAGTGCGTCCATGGCTCAGCCTTGTCTGACACCTTCCTCATCCCCTGAGTTTTGCCCTATAGACTACATCCCGCGGGCTAGGATTGATCTGGCTCATTTCAAAAAAGCAAACTTGGGCTGGGGTTTGGAGGAAGGCTCTTCAGTTCCAGTCTATGTTGACATCTGTCCCTGTCCATCCTTCTGTCCAGAGCAGGGTAGTGGAAGGATTGGAAGTACCACAGGGAAGCCGAGAAGATGCTTAGTCAAGTTCTCGCCTGGAGGAAGCAGGACTCTCTACACCAACAGTCTTGGTAGTGGGTGCCACCTTAGTCCCCAAAAGGCCAAGGGTGAGGGGTGGGGATCTGAGAACAGATGGGGAGAAGGCTTGAACTTGGAGTCGTCAGGTTCTCTCCTGTTCCAGCTCAAGTTTGCTTTCTCGGCTCACAGCTTCCTAGAGAAAGGACACAGATTCATCATTTCTAAGTTCCTCACCTACGACTTCCCTCCCTTTATGTCCACTGAGAACATTTCCCACAGCTTCATACCCTTTAGACTGACCTGAGCAAGTAGCCAGGCCCCATTACAGCCAACCAACCTGATACATCAAAATTGAAAATCT